CTCTCTCTCTCTCTCTCTCTCTCTCTCTCTCTCTCTCTCTCTCTCTCTCTCTCTCTCTCTCTCTCTCTCTCTCTCACGCACACATATTTTTTCATGATAACACATATATGCATGAGATGATGAGAATCTCAATCTGCTGAAGGCATTATTTCTTCTCTGTTTGGTGAGAACCAAGCAAGGAACACATTACAAGTTTATGAAACGAAACTGCCTCCAATGAGAAGGAGAAACAATGAAACCAAAACATGGAAATGGATATGCTAAAGGTGCTAAACTTCTACATTTAACCCCACGAAACTCATTTTAATGCATTCTTTTCATTTCTATTTTATGAGTTGGAGAAAACAGGTGGTTGGTCCAACTTGAATGATACGAAATTATGTCAAGTCACTTCATAGGTTCTCTTTCAAACTAAAGAGCATTATGAATGGTTTAATTGGATATATTCTCTCAAAACTAAGACCATCATTATGAACTGTTAATGTGCTATTTACATATAAGGTGTGGTTAGCATAACGCCCAGGCTTTAAGTTAATAAATAATGTAGCATCTCAAAAGGCCCGCCGGAAATGTGATTCTAGTGCCGAAGCCCCTCTGATGGCCTGCAAAACTATTTTGGCCCTTGATAATAGATTTTGAAGCTTCAAAGATAGTCGACATCCAGCGGATTTGTAAACACATAAATGGTCCAGATAATGTGTTACAAAATACACTATTTTTTTGGCGTGAAATACATTTCTTTTTGGATCCGTAATTGTCAAGGTCGAGAGGGTCAATTGATGGTTTTTCAATGCCTGAGTTACATTTTCTGAAGGAGTTTTGAGGTGCGGCTTCACTTTTGGTTGCAAACTCCAAGCCTTATGTGGTGACCTATTCAAATATAATTACAGATTACAAACTGTTTAGTTGGATGGTTCTCTCAAACTTAAGGCCATTTAAATATGCAATACTTAGAACTAATTTTTTTTAACAGTGCTAATTTTGATCACTTTTTACACTGAATTTACAGGACTAATGCCATGTTCTTGAGAAAGATTAATGCTCAATGCAAAGACATCTCTCAGCAGCTTCATATCTCTATGGACCCTCAATTAGAAAGTAGACAACCATCTGATCTTCATTTTGAAAAGCTTCAACCTGCAAATGAGAACTATGGAGGCAAGCATATTAGGGTTTTTGGCAGTTATGTTGCGAGAGAAGCCATGGTAGATGAAGAATATTGGGTCAGTACTGCAATCAGAACTTCGTCGAAGCATACCATCATGAAATGGAGTACAGCATACAGTACTCCAAAGGGATATCCACCATAGTTTCCATGACAGAAGGTGGCCTTGGTGAATGTCTAGAATGGCACTGTCATGATTAACCTCCACCGTCGAGAATGGATGGTAGATGGCCCTGTGGAGTATTGTAAACCATATGCCGTTGGATTATGATATGCATTCCTTTTGGCTTCTTAAACCATGTTCTGGCTTTCCATGAAAATTCTCTCAAACTCTGTCTTCTGTGCTTCTTGTGCATTCTAGACAGCGGCGTGGTTGAGGGCTGAGAGCCATTGGGAGAGCCAACTCTATGTGCGGTTAGAGTTAACTTGACCCTTTTTCCCATTGAAAGTTGGTGCCTAGTTTGATTGCAAGCATACTCATAAGACTCATCTTTGGTTATAAATGTGTGTGTGTGTGTGTGTGTGTGTGTGTTTGGGAGAGAGAGAGAGAGAGAGAGTCCTTGTAGCCTACTGAAATTTAGCACCTAGGATGTCATCCATTCAAGTGCTACCCTTGTGCATATCAAATATTTTACAGAAACAAACTGACAACTTGGAAAGCATGGCAATGTGCTTAAATCCTGTCCTTTTTTTGAAAGGAAAATACTCTTTTTTGTTTGCCTGAATATAATTTTTTTTGTTTTGCTTGTTCATTTATTTTTGCATAAAAATCACATTAATCAAATAACTTATTAAAACTGTGACTATGCCTCTTTTCTAGATAGAGTGATTGTGAAATTACTCAACACTAAATTTAGTTGCCTTTGTTCCACAGGTACATTGATAGTTACAAGAGGAAGTTCGCAGAGCAGGTAAGAGGATTCTAATTTCTACAAGTTCTACCAAGTACAACTACAGATTCATCTAAATATAGAATTGAAAATATACTCCATACTGTCATTTCACAATAAATACTAGAAATCTGCAGTCTTACCTCTTTTTTCATGGATGCATAATCAAATATTCTAACATATTCCAGTCATACAAACTTGAGCATACAGCACTCAGAATGCAAATTCGATTTCCTGTCTAAGCTTCTTGAATTTGTATCTTGACAAATTGTTAGCAATCGGTTGTGACAACTCATATACACATGTATCTCTCTACTTTTTCTATCTGTATAGGAGTTCAGTGCATTGAAACGGCGATGTACTGGGCAGCAAACCCAAAAGTCCTACTGTATTGTTGGGGTATGGCGTGAACCTTAAGAACCTGATTTCCATTCTATATTTTTCTTTAATTTGCAAATGGAATTTATATTTAGACACAACTTGTTGAGTATAGTACAATGAACTCTTATTCTTGGAATTTGGGGAAAAAACTAGGTCAAAAAAGAAGAAAATAATGTGAAGCGTATGGTACTGAACAGCATTTTGGGGACTCTTGACATGAGCATTCAGCATCTATTAAGAGGAAGAAATTTTCCAGGAGTAAGTTAGGAACCAAACTTATTGGTTTTGAGAAGGTTTCTTCATCGAAGACAATTGACTGAGTACCATTTTCAGGGGACAACGAGGACATGTATATCAACGTGCCTGCATGGAGGATATAATCAAGAGAGATATGGATATGTCTCAAATTTATGTGTAGCCAAGTTTGCACGTCGTCAAGGAATAGCAAGCAATATGCTCTATTTGGCCATAGATGCAGCCAAGGCTTCTGGTTTCATTTATCACTCTCATAGATTATATAGTATCATATGAGAGAAGAGAGAGAGAGAGAGAGAGAGAGAGAGAGACGTGCCAAAGTATCCTATTTTCCAATGGCTAAGGTTCCATGGTCTTATCGGTCATTGGTCATCACCATCTAACACAGTGATAGATGGTCATGGAGAGAGAGTGGTATCCGCAGTAGGGGTCTTGTCCTGTTCAGGCAGCAACCACTCTGGGCCGTTCTCCTATAGATCACCATCCTCCATGTCCTCAGATGTTGATGACCTTGCCATTGGACCATGAAATGCTTTTTCCTTGTATGGTTGTGTTTATATTTCGATTTGTAATTTTGTGCACCGTGCTTGAGAGAGAGCTCACTTTTGAGTTTCATGTGACAGGCGTGGATCAGATATTTGTGCATGTAGACAAAGATAACAAACCTGCGCAAAAATTATATGAGAAGATAGGATTCCAGGTCTTGATGTACTTAGAATATGACAGTTTCTACTCTAGGTTGTTTATCCTTCATACTGACCAAATCAGCTTCTGCTCTTTTACAGATGGTTGAAGAGGAATTCCCTAATTTATCAATGGAGAGAAATTATCTATTATGCTTCAAGATGTGATTTTGTGCTGTACAGACAAGATTTCATTGACAGTTGGGCCTTCAATAAAATCTTTCATATGATCAAGATTTCATCTGAACTGGAGATATGATACAAATACACTGATAAAGTCATTTCAGTAAGAGAAAAATGCTTCCTCATCTTCACCATGAACTGGATACCTCTCTCTCTCCCATTTGTTGTGTTGTAGAGGAAAATGAACCCAGCGACAGCTTCATGAATCTCTTTCTTTGTGCATAAGTTTGGGCTTTACAAGATTTTGCAATAATCATAATACACGTACTTGACACCCATTAAATAAACATGAGATTAAAATAGAAAAGAAATGAATAAACTACTCTCAAACATTTTGTATCTATTGCCAATATATACCGTGTGATACTCCCGTGACAAGTTTGTTATTGCATACCCCTTAGAGGCACAGCCATAGATCCAAAAGATTGGTGGTAAGGTTTCTTTGTCACTAAAAACAAACTTGTAGCCCACTGATGCTAAAACATTGTATAGGATTCCTATACAGTGTCACCATACATTCATGCAGTATTTTAAAACTTGGGAAACTCAGAATTTTAATAACTTACTAGTGAATATATCAGGATATCTATAATGGACACAGTTTTTATGTGGGGTACCCCACATGGAACCTCCACTGTCCAACTTAGTTGGATGGTGGAGATGGCAGGGACACACTGCAATATCCACTGTGCATCTGAGTTAGGACAGTAGAGGTTTCATGTGGGCTAGTGGGCTAGCCGCATGAAGCGATTTACCATCTATAATTCCATGTCAACATCTTCAAAATTCTATAACATCAATTGGAAATATATCATTGAGATCCTTAAAAATTTATTACTACACATGTATACATGTACGGGGTACATAATGAACAGAACCCCAATGTCATTATCATTAAAGTGAGAAAAGGATGAGAAATTCCCTGACTAACCATGTATAATAAAAGCAATACAAGTGTACAACTTGGTAATTATCATTAAAGAGAGAAAAGGATGAGAAATTCCCTGACTAACCATGTATAATGAAAGCAATACAAGTGTACAACTTACAAAGAGATATTTTTTCTTTTGCATTAGGCTCAGCAGTAATTGTTTTTCAAAGCATAGCCAAATTCTTGATCACTTCAACTTGAAAGATGGGCGGTTAATTGGACTCTCATTCACGTTTCAGCAGAATTTCCAAAGGAAAACTCAAGGAATAGAAACAGCGATCAGTGTAGAAGAGATAAATCAAATTTCTATTATCATTTGTTTCTATGCCTACAGGTATACAAGGCATTCCCAATCATCTCCTGATGAACATGGTATTTTTGGGGACATTTTCTTTTGGCCTTGTCTTTTGGTTATTGGGTACATGATGGTTTGTGTAACCAGGTTCAAATTATTGCACAGATAGGGACTTTGTCTTACCCCATGATACTGACATAAATAAACAAAAGAATTTCAACTTATTCATTATGGTACTCTTATGAAGGGCATAATCTAGGTCCTGATAGGAATGTATGGAACCTTCTATTTATCTCAACCAAGCTCCAACCAGGTATCTTCTTCAATTGCTTCTCCTTTATTAGTTTCTTCAATCTTGCGACCTCTTCCCATCTACCAGCCTCTGCATAAATATTTGACATGAGGACATAATATGTAACAGTTTGAGGATCCTTACTGAACAAATGCTCAGCCACAATCTCAGCCATTTCAACATTCTTGTGAATCTTACAAGCCCCAAGCAAGGCCCCCCATACCCCAAGATCAGGCTCAATTCCCATATTCTTAACAAACCCATAGGCTTCAACCAATGAGCCTGCTCGACCAAATAGGTCCACCATGCAAGCACAATGCTCGAGCCGAGGCTCGATACTGTGGTCCCTTCTCATGCTGTAGAAATACTCTTTTCCTTCTTCTACTAGGCCTGAATGGTTACAAGCCGTTAAAATTGCAGTGAATGTAATGGCATTTGGCTTCACACCCTCTTCTTGCATCTTTCTAAATAACCCTAGTGCCTCTTCTCCTTGTCCATGTTGAGCATAGGCACCTATAATGGCGGTCCATGAAACTATGCTCTTTGGGCTTAGTTTATTGAAGACTTCACGAGCCAATTCCAGACTCCCACACTTTGCATACATATCTAGAAGAGCATTTTGTATAGCAATGTTATCATATAATCCGTTTCGATCAATTAGCTCATGAACCCATCTTCCAGTATTTAGTGCACCTAAATTGGCACAAGCTGATAGTACACTGACAAGTGTTATGTAGTCATACACCATCTTCTCATTTTGCATCCTTCGAAATAGCTTGAGTGCTTCACTAGAGGACTCGTTTCGTTCATAGGCAGCAATCATCGCATTCCAGGAGACCAAAGTCTTCTCTCTCATTCCATTGAAAAGAGAGCGAGAAGTCGCAAGGTCCTTGCATTTGGCGTACAATGCGATCAAAGAGTTAGTGAGAGAAACATCAGAGCCCAATCCGAGCTTTATTGCCCACCCATGAATGGATTTACCAAGGTTGAAATCCTCTAAGTTGGCACAAGCAGGAAGGACACTTACTAAAGTAATTGAATTGGGTCTTGAACCAGAGACGGTCATCTGATAAAATACCTCTAAAGCTTGCCGGAAAAACCCATTTTGGGCCTTTCCAGCGACCATTGCTGTCCAACTCATAGTGTTCTTGGCCGGAATTTGGTTGAATATCAACCATGAATTCTCAAGCTCACCAGCTTGAGAGTACATGGCCACTAAAGAAGTCTGAACAAACACATCCAAATCAAACCCATGTTTAATTATGTTACAATGTATTCCTTTTCCCTCTCTGAAAGCTGATATAACGGCACACGACCTCACTACAAAAGGGAACGTGAAGTGATCAGGAAGAAAACCAGATTGATGCATCTCTGTATACAGAACTAAAGCCTGTTGACAAGGACCAACATCCGAGTAACACCTGATAATGGTGTTCCATGAAAAGACATCTCTCTCAGGCATTGTATCAAACACTCTTCGAGCGTACACCATGTCATGAGAGAGAAAATGGATCACGGTTATGAGCTTGGTGGCTAGAGAGAGGTTTTGCAGAAGCCCACTTGTGTAAATGTGAGCATGGAGTTGTTTAAGTTCTCTGAGGTTGGTGCAATTGTCAAAGATGGAGTTGTAGGTGACAGAAGATAGGTGGCTAATGTAGAGAGGAGGAGAGAAGAGAGAGAAAGAGGTAAGAGATGAGAGTCTTATTGGGGCTTTAGAGAGAGAGGGAAGGATGGGTAAAAGGCTTTTGATGAGGTTGAGGGCATATGCCATTTCATTGGGTGAAGTGTTTGGGTAAATGTTGGTTTGAGGACTGAGAAAGAGTTGGTCCATGACCCCTCAAAGCTGGGGTATTGGAGTTTGGACCATGGAGAGAAATCAGATGGAGCCTAAAGTCTACCACATGAGTTTGGTTTCAAGAGAGAGATGAATTTGGAAACATGAATGAGAGAGAGTACACAATTAAGTGTCAGCCACAGTGAGAAAATACACACCCAAGTTGATTGATTAGTCACATGGTAAGAATCATAATACAAAGGAAAAGAGGACATGAGATTAGAGAATGACACAGAAAGCAATAAAGCTCATAACAGAGAGTACAATTTAAGATGATGTCACATGGGGAAAGAACCAAGAGAACCTGGTATATTGGAATGTCTCTGTACATATTCTCTGATGATGACAGCTACAGTATAACCCCTAAGGAGCATAGTACAGGGTCCTGTTTTATTTCCTGTGTTTGGTACGGAAACTTTATGGAGAATATAATTTTTCTCACACGAGAACAAGGGCATTCTAATAGGGAAAACATTAATCATATTTGTTAGGCAACAATGGCTATCTGATTTTTTAGCAAACAACTTATAGCCTTGCAAATAATGGTGGCTGTACAAAGGGCGCCTTTAGTTTACATCAAGTCCCAACAATCAATGTCATGAGAAAACATGTTAGTAATATGTATGTGGAGATGCATAAAAAAACCTCATTTAAAACGACTCACTATTGTTCTCTTGAGACTTTAAACCTTTAATAGTGATTTCAAATCACCAAACTCAAAATTGACAAAGTCGGCGCCGCGAGATCGGAACCAGTTGTCTCTTAAGACTTTAACCCTTCAATAGTGATCTCAAATCACGGTACTCAAAATTGACAAAGTCGGGACGAGATTGGGAACCAGGTGATCGTGAAGAACACAATTGTCCCAATTTTTAGTTTTTCTTTAATTACTTGATCAAATATACTATCATTCTTCATCTATGGGTTGCCCTGCCTCCCATAATGGGGAGAGACCACAAGGAGAGGACCTTATCACCACTCCATAGTGTGAGGCCATTAAAAGAGGATTCAATCTTTGCCAACTTATCAAGAGAATTGCCCTCTTGAGAGATTTGAAAGGAAATTGAATAAAATAGGTGTCTTCTTGAACTCTCGAGTTCTGGCCAATGAAAAATCTATGGTTTATGCGAGGGAGAAAGGGTTGAAGCTTTTGAATAATGGAATTTTCTTTTACTAATTAGCAGTTCTTTTAATGTAATAGGGAGCTAAGCTTCAATGTTGAGCATTATCATCATAAACTTTTTCTAATTATTTGGATTCGATTACACTAATCATCTTCCGGCATTTTGCTTTATTAAGGACTATGCTCTCAAATCCTAGTCCGACATTTTGCTCTCTATATTCTCAATGCCAAGTGCTCACTCTAAATGAATAATTAAATGAATAATATGAGTAGAAGATGGCGAATCATCTGCTATTAGAGTTTACAAATCCAAAACTGTCATGCTCTTGAGGGAACATACTGCCCATTTATTCCCTTAGGCAAAACCCAATTTAGGAACAATTTTACGACTTCAAATTTTAGCGATGTGAACTCTTCCACCCCTATGCTATACTCAATATAAAAAAAAAAATCAAATTGCATTCTCTATGGGTTTCAAAGACAAAAATCGTTTCAAGATTGAATAAAAACCATTTTTAAAGGGTGAGATGTAAGTGTTAAGAAACTAAAATTTCAAAACTTTCTTTTTTTAATATATTACCTAATGATATTTAGATGGTTCCTCAAATTTTGGATAAAAAAAAAATCTTACCCACCTAGTACTTTGCCCGAGGGAGTGAGTCTACAATATGCTAAGGTAGGAGCATTAGTATACCTACTAATATATAGAAGCCACTCAAAGGCATTTTCTTATGGACCTGGTTTCTATGCAGCCAAGCCCGCAAATGTAGAAATGTGGGCCTCTTAATAAATTTATTTTTGAGATGGATTTTGAGACTTGATTTTTAAAGAGATGTAATATCTAACATGGAGATCATGAATATACAAAATAATTTTTTTAAAAAAACTCAAAATAATAATTCTAGTAAGAAAACATTTGAACCGTTAGTTTCCATCTAAATCCGTTTTAGATGGAACGCCTACTTGCATCCATCTTTAAGATGGATGCTTTACACTTTCTGAACCACACATGTAGACATGCAGTCCAGCCCACATTAAACCATTTCCCTTTTCTTATAAATAAAGTGTTTGGTGAGTTGGATGACTCACCGGTAGATGTGTGTCATCCCCGTTCAAAATCCATCTTTAAAATGGATTTTGGATCCAAAATTTAGGGATTTGTCAATCTGAACAATAATGGTGATTGTGAATTTGAAAAAATTTTCATCTGGGAAAATAAACTTGCATTTTTTGAATATTTGGTTTCCACCATCTATTCTAACATATGGTGGAAGCACCTTTCTTTGACGTCCATATCTAAGATGTACTTCCTATCCTTGAGGGGACGCACATGTACCTTATATGCAAAGACCCAGGAGGGATACGAGAGATATGCCCAAGTACTTCCTCACCCATGTTACTATTTGAAAGGAAATTTCCATTTCTTGATCCCAATGCTCATTAGCCAATTTATCATGTGGATTTTCTTATCATTATCATCCACCTGTGAGTTTTTCTCTGTGTTTAAATTGTAATATTCACTTTGCTTAAGAGCTTGAAAACTGGATCAATTAAGCAGATGTAAAGCACATAGTTTATCAAGATGGAGCTGGAAATATAATGTGAAAGATACATTAAGCTTTCCATTCTTAGCTAGGAGGATAGTTTGGGACAAGATAGTTCCATAATTTTCATAATTATTAGCCTTCTTGAGATGGCATAAGAAGCTAAGAATATGAATTTAAAGGTTGGTTTAACTGCTTACATCCAGGTTCCAAGGTTGTACAGTTCTTATACACGAACGAATAAATTCAATTTTTGTCCATTAAGCAACTTGTTTTAATCAGTAAATACTTTTAAGCATTGCTTCTATGTAGACAAGAATGTGAAATGATTAATCTTATCAAATTAGTGACATAATTGGGACACTCCACTGAGAGGCATGCCTCATATCCTTTAGAGCCGACACCCTGATTTTTCCCCTGGATGCCTGTAATTAGCAGCAAGGAACTTCTTAGCTTCAGATGGTTAGAGAGAGAGAGAGAGAGAGTTTCCTGCAACATAACAGTAACAATGAAAATTTATAGGTACCTTGTGACATAGCGAGGCTGTAAGCTAGCATTGACTATCCAATTGAAGAACTCAGGGGGCTTTTCTTGAATGGAATCCTTCGTAACTCCTGGTTTGTATGCCAGACAGATCCTTCCCTCAAGAAAAGACTGAATAGTAATGGCAGGGATAGTCTCAATGGATTTATGATTTCAAATTCAATCCCCATCTTCCAACAGAACAGTAAAATAAAAATTGATTTTGATGAAGTTTGAATAATGACCGTCTCTCATGATCCACAACTCAACGGAGTAAACATCAGGAGTAAAAAGCAAAAACAAATGCGACTTCTCTTCTGTAATATAAAGGCCTACATCTGAAACTCCTAAAAATGCAAGGGCCTGCACCCCTCCAAGCACAAGTTTCTCAAGAATTTCAATGAACTGAGACCCTGATCATAAAGTCCCTGAAATCCACTTCTTAAAGTTGTGAAAAGTGCATTTTTGGATTTACTTTGCAACTATATCCAGTTGGAAGCACACGGACTTTGATTTCAAAATGGTGGGCTGATTCAGAATAGCCAACAGCTCCTACCCTGAAACATTCAAGTCTAAGAAGTTTGGAATGGCGAGATATCTTTGGCATGGTTTGCAAACCTGTGCATTCATTAACATCCAGTTCTTACAAACTGCTGGGGAGCTCAGGTATACATACCAGTTGCTCACAATTCATGTAGCTTATTTGCAGCCATAGTGGTCTAGAACGGAAAAGTAGCTCTTGCAAACTTTTGGTTTTGTCAGCAAACAGATGTTTCAAATTGGTCGGGAGCTGAGGGATAGATGCCAGCTGCTCACAACCATATATATACAAATTTTCTAGTTTAGAAAGGTGAGATAGCTGGGGCATGGTTTGCAATCTTGTGCATACAGCAGCATCTAGATATTTTAAACTGGTAGGGAGCTCAGGGATAGCTACGAGCTGCACGCATCTATGTACAGACAGAGTCTCTAGCTTACAAAGATGAGATAGCTTGGGCATGGTTTGCAAACTTGTGCATTCACCTGCATCCAGTTTTTTCAAACTGATGGGAAGCTCAGGGATAGCTACCAGCTGCTGACAGCCATTAATCAACAGTTGTTCTAGCAGAGAAAGGCCTCTCAAGCTACTGGGCAGGCCATGGAAATTGTTGAAGCTGAGAGACAATATTTTTAATGAGCATAATTTTTCAAAATCATCGGGAATCATCCCCTGCAGGTTACAGTGTGTTGCCTCAAATTTCCCCAAGGAGCAAAGACCTGAGAAAGTAGATGGAAGCCTTGTCAAATTTATGTTGTTGTTCATTTCGAGAGTCCTTAAACTTGTGAGACTTCCAAAGCTTTCCGGGAGCTCTTTCAACTGTCTGCACCCGATTGTGTTCAACTTATCCAACTTAGAAAGAAGTCCAAAATCATGAGGTAATGTGGCTGTAGCAGTTTCAACCATGTTTAGATAAAGCAATGACCTCATCCTTCCCATTGAAGCTGGGAATCTACTCAGTATCTTGCACCGATTCACATTCAACTTCTCAAGGTTAACTAATGTGCCTAGCGAATCTGGAAGTTCTCTTATGTTGCAACGATTTACATCCAACTCCTCAAGGTTCACTAATGAGCCTAGCGAATCTGGCAGCTCTCTTACATTCGTAAATCCCAATCTAAGAATTCTCAAGTTCTTTAAATTTCCAATCGAATCAGGTAGTTGTTGTATGCCACTACTAGTCATATCGAGCTCTGTTAAAGATTTCATGGAAAACAACTGCTCCGGTAGCTTGTCAAGGCCGTGATTATTAGATATAATAAGCTTTTGAAGAGACTGCAACCCTGAAATAGTACTTGGCAGTTCCTTGAGATGGCATCGGTTGACATTCAGATAGATTAAATTTTCTAGAAGGCTTATGGAATTAGGAATCTCAACTAACTCCCAACAATTACTGAGATTCAACTTCTCCAAGTTCTGGTATTGAGAACAGTTGGGAATTCTGTTTAATTTAACGCAATAGCGGAGATCAAGAACCTTCAAGTTTGGGATGAGCTGTCCAAAACAATTGGTAGGAATGGACGATAATAACGTTTCAAATATGCAAGAGAAAGGAAAAAAAAGAAAATGACATGAGAAAATATTAAGAAATATAAGTGACTCACCATATTTTTCCACACCAGCTCAGACAGGCTATTCGACAAGTCAAGTACAGCAAGCTTTTCATAGGGAAAATCATCTGGAAGGTACTGTAGAGGACATTTCTTCCATTTTAGCCACACTAAACCTGATGGAAGAGATCTGAAGCTTCCATTAAGAGATGCAAAACTGATGCTGAGTAGTTTCAAACTGGACATTGGTTTAAATGCTTCAGTTTTCCAGCTCTGCCCTTGATTGTTCACCGAGAGGATTAGGCCCCGAACCTTACCAGATCCCTAATAGAAAGGAAAAGTAAATGCAAGTCAAGTTGCAAGATGCCAAAAAGTAGATGTATCTAACTGTATCAACTTCGATGAAAGAAAAATAGATCCATGTGAATCGTATATACATGATCGTAAGTTTTCTCGAACACGAGAAAAAAAAGGTTGTTTAGTTGTTTTGGAATTTCTCACCTTGTGATTCTTCAACACATCAAAGACCTCGTCTTGATCCCACAGCCTACTACGGCTTCCAGGATCATCTAGGTTTTCTAGTTTAACAATTCGCCTCCCCATATCACGAAGTTGGTCATGCATCCATAACCTATTCTCATCATCTATCTTTATCAGTGACCTTTGCGAGAGTCTTTTTATGGATATTGAAGCAGGCAAGCCACAGCCTTTCCATATAGTAACTGCATAATCTCTGTCCATACCTATGAAGAAGCACGCAATGTCAAGAAATATTTGCTTCTCTTCTTCAATCAAATAGTCAAAACTCACTTTCAGCTTTAGAATGACATCATTTTCAGGAACGTTTCTTAGCATTTCTACTGTTTCTTCCCATTCTTCAATGGTTGTCTTGTCCCATAAGGATGATCCCAACACCTCAAGAGCTAAGGGAAGCCCACCAGCAGTCGATACCACATCCTTTGAGAGCTTAGCATATTCTTGTGTGGGTTGGTCCCTCCCAAATGCCCACCAACTGAAGAGTTGAAGCGATTGTGTATAATCCAATTCCTTGAGCTTGTAGACATGATGCCTGTCCACTCTATTACTCACATTCAAGACATGCTCATCCCTCGTGGTGGTGATGATCCGACTTCCTCGACAATACCAATCATGTTTACCAGCCAATTTTTCGAGCTGCTTCTGGTGATCGACATCATCCAATATAACAAGAACTTTCTTGGACCTAATCCTGTTCTTGAAAACACTGACGCCTCTATCAGCATCGCTTATATTTGGGTCTTCTTCATTAAACAAATCCTTGAGAAGTTGTTTCAGCAAGTTGACAAGTCCATAATGTGTTCGCGATGCTTCTCTAATGTCTGAGAGGAAACAACTACATTGGAAACTTGAACGTATTTTGTTGAAGATTGCTTTGGCAAGTGTGGTCTTACCAATGCCACCCATTCCATGGATCCCAATCATCCGAACACCGCCATCAGCACTAACATCTAAGAGTCTCTCCACATCATCAACTCTAGAATCGAGCCCAATAAGGTGATCCGCAACATGCAATGGTGCCATATAATTCAACTTGTCTGCAACAACCTTAACAATTTCATGGACCAGATTTGCTTCACTCCTATAGAAAATCCCTCTGTGTTAGGCCAAACTAAAAAAAAAGAAGAGAAATTGAAACAACTTTTTTTCCCTTCAGGACAAGTAAGTGAGCAAAAAAATAAGTGATGTAACATAGACTTGATGATGATGATGATATCAAACCCAATAGTCAAATTAGGACGATGGCCATGATTTAAGCACAAAGAAATATGTATTGCTCATGAAGCCCTAAGCAATGTCCTAATTCGTTTGTACTCCAAAGGTGCCAGGTCCATAAGGAACATGCCAAACTCAATATGTTCCTACATTTTAATACTATTTTCTATAATGAATACATCCAAGAGAACTTAGGGGCAACTCCAATAGACGATAAGATAAGGGCAAATAAACTTATGTGGTGTGGCCATGTGCAGTGTCGACCTAAAACAACACCGGTTACGATGGATGATTGGGCTCAAGCAAAAGGCTCTAAAAGGGTAAAGTAAAGGCCCAAAAGGGCATGAATGGAAGTGGTGAGAAGAGATATCCTGACTTATGGTCAGACTCATGGTATGACAGAACATGATTCCTATTACCGACCCCAAATAGTTGGGATAGGGTTCGGAGATGATGGTAATGATGAGTTTATGTAAGATGTTCTAAAACTCAGGCGAATTCACTTGGACTCAACAGGGTGTCGAGTCCATAAGGATTATGCCAAACTGATGCAGCCATGCCCCAGCCAATAGTTTGTGGCTGGGCCAAGAAGGGTCGTAGGACCCAAGGGAGAAAGAAAGGGGTAATGATGTAATAAGGAGAATTATTTGGGTTTATCTTTATTTCTTTAGGGGTAAGTTTAGTCATTTGTTTTAAGTTAGTAATGGGTGGCTATGATTAAATAGGATGGATGAATAGGATTTCGTAGGACTTTTTTTGGGTTATGAGTTATTTAAGTATTTGCTATTGAAGGGTTTGGGTAATTAGATTGTTATTTTTTGCAGAGAAATTTTGGTGAATAAACTTTGGAAGGTGGATTCCTCTTGGTTTTGTGATTTTTCCTTCTTCTTCTACTCTTATTCTCTTAAGGCTTGTTCTTTGGAGATCTCTCTGCGAATTAAGATGATGATTTTGTAAAAAATTAATCCCAATTTGCATCAATTGGTATCAGAGCGGGTTCCGATGGCTTCAAAAGAGGCACCCCTCGATGGATTAAGTTTATTGATTGAAGTAGTTCAAGCCCTAGCAAAGAGAGTAGACAAATTCATGCCCGTAGCTGAGACAGTAGATGAGCTTATGCAAAAGTTCGCTCAGCTTCAGGATGGAACGAATCCGGAGACTGGTGTTGGAACTCAAGGCAACAGAGGTGAAAGAGGTATGCATTTCGTTCCAAACCAACTTCGGTGGCCCCGGTTAATGAGGGATTCAATGACCGAATTCTTCAGTTGTTGGAAAGAGGAAGAGAACCTGGAATAAAACTTGATATTCCAAAGTTCCATGGTCGATTTCATGCAGATGATTTTCTTGATTGGCTAAGTAAAGTACAGAAGGTGTTTGAGTATAAAGATATTGCAAATCGCAAAAAGGTAAAATTAGTAGCCACAAAATTTTTTAGCCATGCTTTGATTTGGTGGGATGATTTACAGCAGGATCATCTCCGACAAGGCAAGGAAAAAATTAATTCGTGGGAAAAGATGAAAACGAAGATGCACCGAAAATTTTTACCAGTAAACTATGCCTGAACCTTGCACCAAAGGTGTCAAAACCTCAAGCAGGGATAAAAGTTGGTGAGTGACAATACTGAGGAATTCTATATTTTAACAACTAGGGCAAATTTACAAGAGTATAAAGATAAAACATTAAGTCGTCACTTGAATGGGTTAAATCAAAGCATTCAGAATAAATTGGCCTTCAAAGTTGTCTGATGCCTATACTTTGGACCTCAAAGCAGAGGAAATAGTCAACCTGGGCCTCGGGAGGAATAGTATAGTGACAAGAGGCTCTACTTCAACACTAGGACAACAAGTTTTGACCTTTAGAAAACCACCTATGGGGCGTGGAAACCAAACCACTCAGTGTTTCCCAACTAGGCCAAACCCTAACATGAGGGGAGGTGGAGTTGGTAGCAGAGTGGGAGCACCTAAAACACCTCGTGATGATACCAATATTGTGTGTTTCAAGTGCCGGCAGCCTGGGCATAAGTCATACAATTGCCCCTCACGTCAACTGCCTGTCAAAATTAACTTAGCAGAAGAAAATTATGAAGTAGAAGTCGATGAAGGACACACCTATGGAGGCCAAGGTGATATTGGGACGAGCTAGCCTTATGAAAGGACTGAGCCTTTCACAGGTGAGATTGAGGAGTTTTATGGAGATGAAAGGGGTGGAGCCTTAGTTGTCCAACGAACCATGTTATCAACCCCAAGACCTTGTGAGGAAGAGAAGTGGTAGCGACACAATATTTTTCGAACAACTTGCACATTAGGAGGTTATACACAATAGTAATCGATGGTGGGAGCAATGAAAACATTAGGTCTAAAGAGATGGTGGAAAAATTTCAATTGAAGGAGTATAAGCGCCCACGCCCATATCACATCCAATGGTTCAAGAAAGGAGGTGAGGTGCCAGTTGTTACTTGATGTTTAATATCTTTTTCCACTGATGCTAATTATAAGATGAAGTGTAGTGCGATGTAGCACCTATGGATGCATGTCACATATTACTTGGTAGACCATGACTTTATAATCATGATATGGTACATAAAACTAGACCAAACACTTATTCTTTTGTCAAGGATGATATTAATATCACACTCCACCCTATGGAGCAACTTCCTACACCCAAATCCACTAAAGAGGAGGGTCCAAAGTAGCTTAATGTGCAAAAATTAAAAAAGGGAAGCAAGGATATGGATGTGATTTATGTGTTGCTTGTAAAATAAAATCTTGTACTTACTATAATTCCTAAGTTTCCTGAGCCTCTACTCGAGAAGTATAAAAATTTGATGCCTGAAGAATTGCTGGATGGTCTTCCTCCAATGAGAAATATTCAACATCACATTGACTTGGTACCTGGTTCTAGCCTACCAAATTTGGCCCATTACTGAATGAGCTCCATGAAACATGAAGAGTTGCACAAACAAGTTGTTGATTTACTTAAGAAGGGATTGATTCTAGAAAGCATGTCACCATGTGTCGTCCCTGCATTACTAATTCTCAAAAAGGATCGGTCATGGAGGATGTGCGTGGACAGTCGAGCGATCAATAGAATTACAATCAATATCGATTTCCTATACCCAAGCTCGATGATATGTTAGATATGCTTCATGGAGCCAAGGTTTTATCAAAGATTGATTTAAGGAGCGAGTACCATCAAATTCAATTTTGTCTTGGGGATGAATAGAAGATCGCATTCAAAACGCAAAATGGACTCTATGAGTGGCTTGGGATGCCATTCGGGCATTCTAATGCACCAAGCACCTTCATGCGCCTAATGACTGAGGTACTTCGTTCTTTTATTGGTAAATTTGTTGTGGTTTATTTTGATGATATATTGATTTTTAGTGCTAACCCACAAGATCACCTTAACTACTTGGAACAAGTTTTTGATATGCTAAAGAAGGAATCATTATTGTGAATTTGAAAAAAAGGCTCATTTATGGTGGACAATGTTGTCTTTCTGAGGTATGTTGTGTCATCTGAGGGAATTAAAGTCGATCAAGAAAAGGTGAAGGCCATAGTTGAGTGGTCGTTACCAAAGTCACTCATTGAGGTGCGTTCTTTCCATGGCCTAGCAACCTTTTATTGCCGCGTTATAAAAAATTTTGGCACTCTAATAGCACCAGTGACCGATTGTAAGAGAGCTGGAAAGTTTTCATGGAGACCCGCTGCTGAAAAGAGCTTCACTCTAATTGAACAAAAGATGATGCAAGCACTAGTACTTGCCTTATCAGAATTTTCTAAGGTATTTGAGTTTACCGATGCATCAAATATTCGCGTAGGGGCAGTTCTAAGTCAAGAGGGGCAACCAGTGGCTTTGTTTAGTCAGAAGTTGAATGAAACACGTAAAAAGTATTCAGTCTATGATCTCGAGTTCTATGTAGTGGTGCAAGCCTGACGCTATTGGAGGCACTACTTGATCCATAGGGGGTTTGTTCTATACTCAGATCATGAAGCACTCCGGTATTTGAATTCCTAGAAGAAGTTGAATGCACGACATGCTAAGTGGATGGCCTTCCTTCAAGAATATACCTTCCTATTAAAGCACAAGGCTAAAGCCCAAAATAAGGCAACCGATGCTTTAAGCAGAAGGGTAGTGTTGATTGAAACTTTGTCTATGGAAGTGTTGAGGTTTGAAGTGATAAAAGACCAATATAAAGTTGACCCAATTTTCAGCAAGGTCCTTGAAAGCTGTATTGATGGGCGAGACCCTATGGGTAAGTATCTCATGCATGAAGGTTGTTTATTTAAAGGTATGCGGTTATGTATACCTGATTGCTCCCTACGGGAGAAAATAATCATGGAGCCATATGGTGGAGGCTTAGGTGGGCACTTTAGGAAGAACAAAACTATGGCTATGGTTGAAGAAAAGTATTTTTGGCCACGCATGCGAAGGGATGTTGATCGATTTGTAACCCGATGTCGAACTTGTCAAGTACCTAAAGGTCACACACAAAATACAGGTCTTTATACTCTCTTCCTGTTCCAGATGCCCCATGGGTTGATATCTCTGTTAACTTTGTACTTGAACTCCCACGTACCACACGACGAATGAACTCGATTTTTGTTGTTGTTGATCGATTTTCCAAAATGGAACATTTTATTCTTTGTAGGAGAACTATGGATGCTACACATATTGTCGACTTTTTTTTTCAAAGATATTGTGAGGCTACATGGTATTCCTAAGTCTATTATATCTAATCGGGATACAAAATTCTTAAATCATTTTCGGTGTACTTTATGGAAGGGCCTCGAAACCAAACTTCAATTTTCTAGCGCTTATCATCCTCAAACATATGGGCGTACTGAAGTAGTGAATAGGAGCCTTGGTAACCTCTTGAGGAGTATTGTTGGTAATAATATATCTCAGTGGGACCTCCCTTTGCCCCAGGCTGAGTTTGCTTACAACAATTCAGTAAATCGGTCTACAAGAAAATCACCATTTGAGATTGTTAATGGGCGGACTTCTAATCATGTGCTGGACCTAGTACGTTTATCCATGCTAGGTAAGATAAGTGACAATGCCAATGCTTTTGCTGAGCATATCTGAGATTTGCAGGCTCAAATTAAGAAGAAAATTGAGGAAAGCAATGCAAAGTATCGAAAAGCCTCAAATGAGCATAGAAGAGAGAAAATTTTCAAGGAAGGTGACTTAGCAATGGTGTATTTGCGAAAGGAGAGGTTTCCATTGGGAACATATAATAAACTCAAGTCCAAGAAGGTGGACTCTTGCCGCATTTTAAAGAAATATGAAAACAATGCATATGAGGTGGAATTACCAAAGGCATTGGATGTCTCCCCCTATATTTAATGTTGCTGACTTATTTGAGTTTCATGGAGACTCTCTAGAAATTGAAGAAGTAGTTGATATGATAAAACAATTACTGAGAAAGAAAGAGGAGAACACCGAGCACGTTTTGAAGACTGAAAAGTTTCAAACTCGAAAGGGTTCCTATCACTAATATCTAGTCAAATGGAAGGGCATGCTATACTCTTATAGCACATAGATTTTTGAGCAAGAGTTCAAAAGGGTGGGCCAAACTTATACCGCAACTGTATTGAAGCCAACTCAGCGGAGTCGAGTTCTTTGTGGGCGAATGATGTAGCCATTCCCCAGCCAATAGTTCATGGTATTATTTTAATTGTTATTTTTATATTTCTTTCGAGGCAAGTTTAGCCATTTATTTTAAGTTAATAATGGATGGCTATGATTAAATAGGATAAATGGCTAGAATTTTTTAGCAGCTCTTTAGGGTTATGAGTTATTTAAGTATTTGATATTGAAAGAGTTTAGGAGGTAGATTGTTATTTTTTGCATAGAACTTTTGATGAATAAACTTTTTTTGGAAGTAGATTCCTCTTGTTTTTTTTGGGATTTTTTATTCTTTTTATACTCTTATTCTCTTTATAGAGATCTCTTTGCGAAGTAAGGTGCTAATTTTGTGAACCACAAACTCGACCCTGTTCCTATATTTGAATATTTTTTTACATTTCTGAGTTTGTGAACCACAAACTCGACCCTGTTCCTATATTTGAATATTTTTTTACATGGTGAAGGGAAGGAGAGAGAATATTCTCCTTTTTAGTTTTCTCCAAAAGAATAAATTTATGGATTTGAGTATACCTGTAATTCTTCATATCCCGACCAGAACGATCTGCAACATGTTTCAGAGCATTTTTCCACCTTTGCACTCTCTCCTCATCCAACCCATTCTGTTTCTTCTGATCCTCGAGAGCTCCCTCGAAAGACCCCGTCTGAAACCGGGCATCGGAAGGCTCGACACCGTAAAACACAGGAACGACCGAACTCCTCACTGCCCGTAAGCTCACCCTGAAAGATAGCTCCTCCAGGCAGGAGACAGAGGAGGCATAGTTGTAGGAAAGGATGGTTATAAAGACCTCACACTCTTCAATGGCTCTCTGAATTTCACCGGCTAAATTGCTTATTGCTTGGTTTTGTTCGGTGGGGGAGAAGAAGGTGGAGAACCCAGATTCATTGAGAACTCTATTAAGATGGGCTGTGAAGCTCTTTCCTGTGTCTTCGTAACAGAAGTTAAGAAAGACTGGCATGGTTTTGCTTTTGGGTTTTTCTCTCTCTAGCAGGTGAGGCAAGTGGTAGTGAGATTTCACAGTTATTTCTAGTTTATGGGCACCAGTTCAGCGTTTTCTCTCTCTAGCCCTCGAGTTTCAGGGCTTTCTCTCTCTACAACTGATGTTATTGCAGGGGGTTTCCAGCCCGCGTGAATTCATTGACGACTCCCCCATCGTTTACTACCTTACTTTTCTTCGGAGGTGTCTGGCAACGAGTCTTAAAGGTTAGAGCGTGTGAAGTATGCTCCCGCTGGAGCATATTATACATTGACTGCCTCCCTTCTCTAAATCAGGTTAACCTCTCAACTCTATTTCCTCCCCTTCTGTTTTTTTTTATAGGTACATTTGTGTTGATCTCTCTCTTATAAGGAAAAAGTTTACATAAGGATGCAACCTTATATAATGTAGAACTACAGATGCATTTCAAAAATTTATTGGAAAATATAGTTTTAATGTTGAAAAACCCTTTTGATTGATCATCTAGATGTATGACCATGAAAAATAAAAAGATTTTAAGTCTCAGACATAATACATTTTACAATATATTATCTACACCGTCCATTTTCAAGATTTTCATATGTTTATAGTTCTACTTGATTTTAAAAAAATTTAAAATTTAAAATTTTATAATTAGATATAAAAATAGATTTTGAAACAATCCTAAAAACATTTTACATCAAAATTATATGCCATAATAAAATTTAAAAGTGCACGTTATCTCTACCGCTACGGATGCATTCCCTCTTATAATTCTCCATTCACAGTTTGGCCAAAATTGAGTGAAACTCAAGTAGCCAACCTCTTGACTCCCATGGAAGTTTGGAATTAAATGGCAGCACATGTGATATGTATGATGCAAGAAACTCTCATTATTTGGGGGGATCAGGACAAGGTCTGCCCAGTAGATTTGGCATATAGGTTGAAAATGTTTGCCCCTCCTCTCTCTCTCTCTCAGTTTTAAGAGAGAATTTGAAGCTAAGAAGTTGGTGGTTGAACATTTACAGGCAATTGGGGGAAAAATCAACCCTGGCAGTTCTAGAGAATGTGGGGCATGCCCCTCAGATGGAGAATCCCAATGATGTCACTGATTTGATAAAACTATTCATTGAATATTTTTCATCTAGATAGAAGCAATGCTAGAGTTATTCATTGATCAGAAGAAATTAATTGTTGAGTTAAAACCACCCCTTTAAGTTTAGGAATACTGAAAATTTGATTATATTATTAGCTTTTATGCTACCTTAATTGGGCCAAGATAGATGAAATTATGTAATTATCTAGTTGCTAAATTACCTCCCCAAGTCAAAGAAGGGAAACTGTTAAAATATCTTTTACCTTGCAGCAAAGCGTCATTTTGATGAGGGATTGCATACAATGAAATTATTTATCTTTAGTCCAAAGAAGTTACACTTATTTATAACAATCCAATGTGAAATTTGATAGTTTGGGTGTGCTACAAAATTCGAAAAAACTTCTTTTGAATTTTGAGCTTGGTTGTGACCACCTTGTATCAAAAGTAAATAATCACATTGTGTATTTTTTCTTTTCATAAATTATGGACATCTTCTTTATTTCTCTTTTTCATATAAGTGAAAAGATTTCATGCTCTTGTGGGAGCATGCTGACTATTTACTCCGTCAGGTAAATCTCAAATATATGCGTATTCTCTGTACCCTAATTTTAGGGATATCTTTCCTTCAACCTAAAGATCACTTCAAAAGGGAAAAAAAAAAGAACAAGAATAAGAAAGAATAAAATCTAAATGAACTCTATGTGAGTATAAAAAAAATAATGTCTTAAAATTAAATGTAGACCGTCCAATGTTTATACAATGAATATAAGTGTTAAAGAACTCAAAATCCTTTATTTCTTTTTTTTCTAAATAATCATCCTAAGAATGGGATCAAGGCTTAAGTGGTCAGGGTGGCAGATACCATAATATAATATCTTGAGTTGCATTCCTACTCCGGGTAAAAAACTCTTTTCCCATTGAACTACCTAAACAAAAAACAATCATCCCGTGATTCTTAAGTAGTTCTCAAGATTTAGATCTAAAACTCCCAAGTGTCAGTTTCACTCAAAGGATTAAGTGAACAATATGTCCCTGTGGGTCCATAATACACTAGCTCTTGATAAAAGGGTGAAGTTTGTATAAGGTATCGACCACCTTATACTATTGCATGCCTCAAAACTATGCCCAAAATGCAGTTTTGGAGCTGCAAAGCCTTATATCTATTGTGGCTCCCAATTATGAAATTTAAAGTTTAAAAAATGGAGACAATCAAGAAGATTTATAAACACTTGGAAATGGATGGTCCATATAATGTATCAGAAGATGAAATATTTTTAGGACTATAGATCCCTTTTTTTCTTTAATGTCTACGAATATTGAGGTTAAGATGATCAATTTGAAGGCTTTCTAGCATCGGAATAACCTTCACTAGTGGGTTTTTTAGGTGCACTTTACCAGTACAGTATCAGGTTGATACCTGATATAAACTTTTTCCATAATAGAATATGTGCTCTTGTACCTCTTCTTTATTGGTATTTAGTTTTCAGTCTATCAAACAAAGTTAATAGTAAAATTTATTATAAAAAAAATAAAAAAAATCACAAAGTTTTGATAAGAAAAGGAAATTCACATAATCAAATGGTTAATTCATTGGGGTATTAGGAAATATTATTGCTTATTTCTCTATTCGCTTTTAAGTGGAAATTTCCTTTCGAATCACTTGGCTGAGGGAGTACTTAGGTAAGAAATGTCCGTCTTTGGTCTCCCCATTTTAAGAACATTATTTAAAAATGCCTTTCAATGGGTTTTATAAAATCTCAGCAACAAATGCTCATCACCTTTTTTTAAAAAAAGAAAAGAAAAAAAGCTCAACATCCTTCTACTGCTTTCACTTATCATAGGCAGATTGTTGACCAAAAAAAAAAAATTAGAAGTTTTCATCCATTGTTCCTTGTAAAATCTTCCATGGTGGGAACTTGGAAGTTCTACAAGAAACCTATTTGTGGGAAAAAAATTTGTTCCTCACCTCAATCTCCATTCTTTTATATCTATCAAGAAGGGTTTCTTCTTGATAATAACTTTGATAAGTTACAAGAGATTGAATCCTCTTTTAATGGCCTCACATTATAGAATATGGAGTAGTGCTGATGTACTCTCATGTTGATCTCACCAGTGTAGAAGAAAAGGCTTACTGAAGGATGTTATAAGCAATGGTTGCCTTCTGATTATGGTTTTTGTTCCTTGTGGCTCAAATTCCAACATAAATTGCACTTGAAGTTACTTTAAGAGTGGAAAATTCTACAAGATAGCACAATAACAAACCTTTGTTGGTGGTGCCACCTACGTATAAAATATATGTAACTATTGTTCCTAGTCGTCCGATCTAAATAGATGGTTGGGATAGTTTTAGTGAAACTGTCATGCTAAATAAATTGATTTTAACTTTTTTATAAACCATTTTAACATAAAATTTTGGTATCTACCCTCTCATTACAGCGGCACGACTAACAAAAATTAATTAAAAGATATTTTTGATCAAAGTAGCAAGAATCTCCCTACAAGTTTTATGGGTAGTTTGGTTATCTATTTTTATCAAACAAACAATTTTTATAAGATGCGTCCTTGTAAGAATAATCCATAAAACAAAAACAAAATTTGAATACAATATCCACTTTGAGGTATCCGATCAAGATCATTCGCATTGAAGCTAACTTGTGACATTATGACTGAAGCTATATGATAGAGCTAAAAATAACATTCACATGTATTTTATATGTGGGTGCCCCTATTGCTTGGGCCTTGTCAGGTGGCTCAAGACCATCCAATTGAAGATCAAAGGACCCATGTTCCTAGACGCGTATAATTAAGACAAATATCTTCTTTTGAGATTAAGAATCATATTGCCTAAATCATTCTCGATATATGACACTTGGAATAATTTTGGGAATATATATTATGCTCCCTAGGGTACATACAATTGCTATCATCCTAGGGGAATGTGCTATGGACTACATAGAAGAAACTATATCATAGAGCGTGTATTACATTGCTCAAGTGGAAAAATAAAGAAGGGAAAATATAGGATAAGATCATTTGTTTTTTGTTTTTGATACACGGAGGTCGCAATCACTATCAGTTGTTGAATGTCAAATTTGATAGTTGAAAGTCTGCCATTGACTTGACTCAAAATCTAGAAGAAAAAATTTCGATATTCATCACATCCATTAGATAAGGTTGACAATAACCTCCTTGTACCATAAGTAAATTGTCTGATAGCGTACAACCCCATAAGAATGCACCTTTTGCAAGGGGAAATAGAATAATGCACCTTTGAAGTGGAGAAATATTCAATGGGTAATTTGATAGATATATCACCAAAATTTACATGACAATAATACTGGATTTGGGGCTAAGCTTTGTATATGATGAAAAATGAAATAATCCACTAGTTCAACATAGTTTCTTATGGTTTGTGACTTTTTATTCTATTTCTGTTTTTCGCTTGTCATTGAAATTGCTACCTGGAGGTCATCAAAACAACTCATCCTAGGGTTTCAATGGAGCAAGAACCATGCTAAGGGTTATAGGGTTCTTAATCCAATCAAAGCTACGACCTCTAGGCATTTTATACCCTACAGAAGTAGAGATAATGATGTTGAGAAAAAAAAGGGGGGTGTAAAATTTTGTCTTCCCCATTCTAAAATTTTAACCTAGATGCAAAACTACCCAATTTGAATATTATTATATAATAAGAATATCATTATCAACCTTTGCATTGTCAAAAAATAAAAAAATAAAAAAGGGTCTAAAATTTTGTCTCCCCCATTCTAAAATTTTTACGTAGATGCAAAACTACCAATTTGAATATAATATAATAATATTATACAATTAGAAAAAAATTTATACAAGGTTGCAACTAGAAAAATGGCATGCCACAAATATCCATCAAAATAGGTTCTTTCAATGCTTAAAAAAAAACTCTATTATTGATCATCAGATCTCAAGATGTACAGATGTTTAAAAAATATATATTAATACATCTTGTAATGCATTATCTCAAGATTTCATCTGTTTGTAGATCTACTCGATATGTACAATTTTATGAGTTTTAATTACATAATTAGATA